CCCCAATTACATTTAGAGTCCCGTTTGGAGATGAGTGTTAAATAATGAACAGGCTCACCCACATCTCAGGCCCAGGGGAACAGCAGGTCTTTAAAACCAATGTAATTATCAAACGTGCACTTCAACATCAGAATTAGCGAACCAAAATAGTCCTTAACTCAACATGTTTTAATAAGCGCTGGGGTGAAAAAAGAAATTGGAGTCAGGTTTGTAATAAAACTTTTCCAGAACTGCCAAATTAAAACACATACTTGTATTTGAGCAGAAATGGTCTTACACAGTATTTTGTACAAGCAACTCTTGAGGTAATAAGTCCACTGCGTGCTGTCTGATGATCAGGAAGTGTACATTAGCATGCTAGTTGTTGGAGGCAAAACTCTGCGTATGCATAAGATAAATGAGGAATTACTTTGGACCACTACAAACTGTTTAAAATGAAGTAGGACTAGTTACGTTTTTTCGCATTTTTGCCATTATTGTGTGTGCAGTGTGCGATTATTAAAGGGACAGTCTGGATTTTTTTTGGACATAGGACCTAATTTCCTAGTGAGCCAGAGTGTTGGAGACGTGCGGAGACACTTTTTAAAATATTCCATCCAGTCCTTGTATTTGCAGAGGTCGCTGGTGCTAGGCTAGTGCATGTCAATGGCCATAGTTATCCTGCCACTAAAAACAGTCTTACCCACTCCACAAAACACCCGAAGCAAATCTATTATTACACCAGACTGTCCATGTAAATGTCTGTGTTGATAGAATAATGTTATGAAATAAACCTAACCTTGCATCGCATGAATCGTCGCATGTTGAGGGACTATTTTCTCATATATCAGTCCGCCGATGCCGAGCTTTGTATCAGGAAGAACAACTCGCTGCTGCTGCTCAGACATAAATCCTTCAAATGCAAAGGTGGTTTTACATTAAAAATTATTCTATCAACACAAACATTTACATGGACAGTCTGGTGTAATAATAGTTTTGCTTCGGGTGTTTTGTGGAGTGAGTAAGACTGTTTTTAGTGGCAGGATAACTATGGCCATTGACATGCACTAGCCTAGCACCAGCGACCTCTGCAAATATTTAAATATTTTAAAAAGTGTCTCCAACACTCTGGCTCACTAGGAAATGAGGTCCTAAGTCCAAAATTCCGGACTGTCCCTTTAATAATTGCACACAGCACATGCAATAAATGCAAAAATGTGAAAAACAGAACTAGTCATACTTTGTTTTAAACTGTTTGTAGTGGTCCAAAGTAGTCCTTTGTTTATTTTATGCATGTGCAGAGTTTTGCCATCAACAACTAGCTCATTTTCTAGTTATCTTAGGTCCAAAATTCCGGACTGTCCCTTTCAGGTACACTTTATTTTCTCTATAATGAAATTTGTCCTCTGTATTTGACCCATCTGCCTATATAGGATGACCAGATTTTCAGTATAAAAACTGGGACATCCTTGTTTTTTTCTGGTGGTTGGTAATAATAAAATTGTGAAATTAGTGCATAATTAAGGAAAATTGTTGTGCAGGGACCATTCATGACTAACATGTGAGTCAATATTGTCACATTTTCTTTGTGTTTTAGTCATTTTAGGTAGTTTAAGACATGCACTAGCCTAGCACCAGTGACCTCTGCAAATACAAGGACTCAATGGAAAATTTAAAAAAGTGTCTCCACACGTCTCCAACACTCAGGACCTAATTTTCTAGTTAGTCAATGTCCAAAATTCCGGACTATCCCTTTAAGATACACTTTATTGTCTCTGTAAAGAAATTTGACCCATTATTCAATACCTCTAGGATTAGGGGGCACCACTGTGCTGCTCATCTAGTGTGAACAGATTTTCAATATAAAAAACTGGGACATCAAGGACTGGATGGAATATTTTAAAAAGTGTCTTCACACGTTTCAAACACTCTGGCTCACTAGGAAGTGAGGTCCTATGTCCAAAATTCCAGACTGTCCCTTTTAGGGGTGCTCACACTTTTTCAACATGCGAGCTACAAAATGACCAAGTCAAAAAGATCTACCTAATACAAAGCCAAGCAAACTGCACTGAAACACTCTGTGCCCCTTTTTTGGACCCTCACCCACAGTTTGAGAACCCCTTCTTTAAGAGAACTTCCTCTGGCACTTTAAACAAAACTGTGAAAAAAGTAAAGGAAGATTTTTAAACCTGTTTTTTAAAGTTCCAAACTGGAGTTGCATTCTTTTCTGGTTTTGCAGTGATATTTACCAGCCTCTGCACGTTTACCAAACCAAACGCACATCGTGACAAACACAGATGCATTTGTGCACTTTTGTTAGACAAACTTCAGCCAAATGTGGCAGTAGGTCTGTTCCGTAGATCCGCTCTATGCTGTAGACCTGCTTTGTGCCAACACTGTAACACAAATTTAGACTCGTTTTTGCTTCACGTTTGGTCTTGCTCTTCTAATCAGCCGCACTGTGGGAGGGGCTTGTGTTCGCTGTACGCAGGAAGGAGCGAGAGCGTGAAAAGGCGAGGGGCGGCGTGCTGACGTGAGGCAGATGGACAGGTAGGATGTTTAGGAAGTTGAACCTGCCCTGTGATGCACGCTGGTACACGAGGGCACACGCTGTCGCAGACGAGCCGTGCGTAGGGAGCGTGTGTGTTTGTGATGTGCCGTAGAGGCTTTGCGGGTTTCAAATGAGCGCACAGGCTGCACTGAGACACTCCTGCACCCCAGTACAAGTTTATTGCCAACAGCAGCGTCCGTAATGAAATATGATCGCACTTGTTGAGTGTCAGACCTCGAGTGAGAGACAAGACCAAGTCCAAACGTGAGTCCGAGACGAGTACTAAGACACGGCAATCTACCCACATGACCTTGACGATCGACTGGTAGATCGCAATCAACGTTTTGTGCACCCCTGGTCCCTTTAATAGAATGTAAGATTGCAAAGCGCTTGCCTGCAAATAGTGACTTAAAGGTCCTGTTGATGCATCACTCGCGGTCACACTTGGTCTTTTATTTATTTCTGTTCTATTTGTGTGGAGCTTATGTTGCTGTGTTGTCTAGTCTTTCTGTTAAAACATGTGATCTCTGTCCCAACACAAATTTCCATGGGAGACAATAAAGGATTATCTTACCTTATCTTATTTTTAAGACAGTAAATACATTACCTTTAATACGATCTGTTCTAAAATGTGCACAAACTGAGTTCATTTTGTAAAGGCTGATATAACTAATGCCATATTCTCTTTCACAGTCATTGTAATTCTTAGCTTTTGGCATCTTTCAGGCTTTCATGTTAATTGGGATACAAAATGAACCCTGAATTTGCATAACTTACTGTAATTATAATAACACTTTGATATTAGAATAAACCTGGAACATTGCACCACTACTGTATTTTTATCCTTCTCGCAACCAAAGTTTTCATTACCTTGCGATAGTCCATTAAAACTTTCACAAAACCAGTACGAATACATGCACTTTTTTACTTAAAACATTAAAATAAACTCTTTTTTTTTGTTCAAATACCTGACAAAAATGATACTCACACATACCACATTGAATCTAGTCTAATGTAAACTAATATAGACACCGAAGTAAAGATGAATTAACTGCTTAAAGCTCTCATTCTTCACTGTCAGGTCTAGAGTAGGAATTTCTACAACATCTCTGCCCTGGAAAAACCGATAAGACAGGACAATTACCAGCATTAAATGGGGGTGAAGAATGAGGACAGACATTCAACAAATTGGGGAATTAATGTCTCGAGGCCGAGGTAGAAACAGAGCGAAGCGTATAGACCGAGACCAAACCATAGTGCCGTAGTGCAGATCAAATAAAGAATCGTATGGGCAGTGACTTATTCTTACTAATGTCCAGTGTTGGGAAGGTTACTTTAAAAATGTATTCCCCTACAGATTACAGATTACATACCCCAAAATGTAGTTTGTAACATAATCCATTCAATTACTTAAAGTGAGTAACGTAATCTGAATACTTTGGATTACTTGGTTTTCTGTAGAGAAGCAAAGACGAGGAAATCTTCACATGAAAAGACAATAAAAAAAACCCAGACTTTACTTAACCATATTAAAAATATGATTGATAGAAGAGGAGGAGACATGGTCTGCACAGCATGATTTAGACCTGTTAAATCCTGGTTTAGACCTGGTTTAGTCCTGGTTTAGTTCTGGTTTAGACCTGGTTTAGACTTGGTTTGAACCTGGTTTAGACTTGGTTTTAGTTCTGGTTTTAGTCCTGGTTTAGTCCTGGTTTAGACCTGGTTTAGACCTGGTTTTAGTCCTGGTTTTAGTCCTGGTTTTAGTCCTGGTTTAGACCTGGGTTTAGACCTGGGTTTAGTCCTGCTTTAGTCCTGCTTTAGTCCTGGTTTAGACCTGGTTTAGACCTGGTTTAGACCTGGTTTAGACCTGGTTTTAGTCCTGGTTTAGTCCTGGTTTCGACCTGGTTTCGACCTGGTTTTAGTCCTGCTTTAGTTCTGGTTTAGTCCTGCTTTAGTCCTGCTTTAGTCCTGGTTTAGTCCTGCTTTAGTCCTGGTTTAGACCTGGTTTTAGTCCTGGTTTAGTCCTGGTTTAGACCTGGTTTTAGTCCTGCTTTAGTCCTGCTTTAGTCCTGCATTAGTCCTGGTTTAGTCCTGGTTTAGACCTGGTTTTAGACCTGGTTTTAGACCTGGTGTCCGGCAATGAGTGGAATTACCGAAAAAAAAAAAAAAAAAAAAAAAAGGGAATACCCCGAAATGTGAAAACAGGAAAATACCACCATGTAATCCATTTATTTCAACGAAGTAACTGTAATCCAATTACCACTCACTGAAACAGTAACTGTAACTGTTACTCATAATTTGTACTCTGATTACATAACTCCGGTACATGTAATCTGTTACTCCCAACACTGCTAACGTCACGTACAAAATTAGACACGAGCAGCAGTGAATAGTGGCACATTGTTACAAACATATAAACTATTGTGCTACTACCAAAGACACATATAAATAAAGCTTAGTGCATATTTACCAGAGGTTGACTAAAAAGACGTGCTCGATCTCCTGCAGGATCTCCAGTTCTCTGAAGACGTTCCGCACCTCGTCTCTCTCGATGCACTGCTGCTTGTTCATGTACTTCATGGCGTACATCTTCTCCGTGTCCCTCTTCTGGACAATGCACACCTAGAAAAACAAGAAAAGACATAAAAAATGCATTAGTGATGTACAGATACTATAGGGCAGGGATCTCCAACCTTTCGCGTCCGGTGAGCTTCCTTTACAAACCATTACCATTTCAACGTTTGTAAGAAATTGATTTGATATAAGCCTTAAATGTACAGTTCGATGCATATAAAACATTAAACCCTTATCAATTTATTAGTGCACAAAGTTCAAAATAACACATTTACAGTGGTAATGAATCAAATTTGAGTTGTGCAGTTAGTGCAGATTTTATGGAGTGTACCTAGTCTGCAATGGTCAGTATCTATCAGAGCTGCTTAAGGCCTGGTTAAGACCTGGTTTATTCCTAGTTTTGTGGACCAGTTTTAGTCCTGGTTTAGTCCTTGTTTTATCCTGGGTTAGACCTCATTTAGACCTTGTTTAGTGCGGCTCTTGTGTGTTACTGGTTTGCAGATGTCAGTATTAGATGTGCTTTGGGCCTGGTTTAGTCCAGGTTTAGTCCAGGTTTAGTCCTGATTTTTTAGAATTTTAGTCCTGGTTTACTGCAACTCTTGTGAAGTATTCTTGGTCTGCCTTGTTTAGGTTTTTTTTTTTTTTTTTTTGCCTTATTCATTTAGGCCTGGTTTTGTTTTGGTTAATTAATTCCTTATTTAGGCCTGGTTTAGTCCAGGTTTAGTAGTTTTAAATTATTTTAGTCCTGGTTTAGTGCAGCTCTTATGAAGTATTCTTGATCTGCTTTGTTCAGTTTTTTACCTTATTTGTTTAGGCCTGGTTTTGTCTTGGCTTATTCCTCATTTAGTCCAGGTTTAGTCCAGGTTTAGTCCAGGTTTAGTCCAGGTTTAGTCATGGTTTAGTCATGGTTTAGTCATGGTTTAGTCCCGGTTTTTAATTATTTAGTCTTGGTTTAGTGCAAATTTTGTGAAGTATTCTTGGTGAAGTAAACTTGTTCAGTTTTTTGCCTTATTTGTTTAGACCTGGTTTTGTCTTGGTTTCTTCCTCATTTAGTCCAGGTTTAGTCCAGGTTTAGTCCAGGTTTAGTCCCGGTTTAGCCAGGTTTAGTCCCGAATTTGTATTATTTTAGTCCTGGTTTAGTGCAACTCTTGTGAAGTATTCCTGGTCTGCCTTGTTCAGTTTTTCGTCTTATTCGTTTAGACCTGGTTTTGTCTTGGTTTATTCCTCATTCAGGTCTTGGTTTAGTCCTTGTTTATCCCTTGCTTAGTCCAGGTTAAGACTTTTCTTATTTCTAATTTCATCCTGGATTAGCCCTGTTTTAGTCCTAGTTTAGAGCAGCTCCTGCGTCGTGGTCAGTTTCTAAAATAAGCCGCTCTTTGCAATTGTCTCTTAAATTAGAAACATGTTTTGCCAAGTTGCAGCCTTTTTAAGCAGTGATGCAGAAATGGTACAGTAGTGAACAGGTGCCAGGTGCACGGGGGGATGGAGGCAGCTGGAGTCTGTAAAACTTGATCATGTCCCTGGTCTCACATGAGGCTGGAGAAGAGCAGGGGCTGTGGGGCTGAGGGACTCTGCGCACTTCCCTTTAATCTCCACAACAGCGTCTCCCTGTGAAGCGACATGCACTAAAAGCACTGCAGGCTCTTCTCCGCTCTACAGCCTGACTCTGTAAAACCACACACATTTTTCAGGCGGGGAAAATAGTTCAAAAATATATTTATATATGGAACCAGGGCTCATCTTGTAACAACTCAAGCCGTTTTTTGGGGGAGTAGCGAGTTATTTAGAGCGAAAGTGCCTCAAAAAGTGTGTGGTTCAGTCTCATCTCTGACTAGTGTTTGCTGTATGTGTGTCCTTGGGCAAGACACTTCACCCAATGTATGTGATCTGCCAGTGGTCATTGATAGAAATCTTCAGCCATGTCAGTCAAGAGCTATAGAGGACTGATGCGTAAACAATTTACTGTTAATAATTAGTGACGGGCAAATGAGACGGAGCTCCGGAGCGCATCTCGTTCTTTTTGAAACAAACTGCTCCGAAGCGCTGCCTCGGAGCTCGTCTCGCAGCAGCACTCGAAGTGTCGGTCCCTCCCCCGACTGCTTCGCTCTGCGTGTCGATCGCTTCAGTGTATCGAAGCGTTTCATTGGCTCAGCGAACGTTCCGCTCTGCGATTGGTTCAGAGTGCTTCAGAGGGTTCAGCGCACTTCTGTGGTTTGACAAGCGCTAAACTGCGACAGTATAAAAGATGCACCAGTATTTCTTAAAAATGTTGGGTAGTGAGGAGTGTTGAGTGACGTTAGTGGTGATTTTGGCGACTTTTGGCATTTGTTTCATTTTCGATGACATCTACAAGTGGAAAAAAGCGATCCATGGTTTGGGATCACTGTGATCTAATTCCACCTGACAAGGTAACACCTATTTTCTTATTCACAGCTGCTATTTATGTTGCTCTTTACATATTATTTAAAATCATCATTATTATTATTGTTGTTGTTAGGTACGGTGTCACTCTGCACACAAGTATTGTCTTACACGAACAATACTTCATCGACGCTGAGACACCTGCGTGACAATGGTTAAATTTGTCCACTAGAGGTCAGTGTTTCTCCGAGGCCTCAGACACGTCGAACCATTTGAGACAATATTGCGACTGAGGTGTCAATGCTTCACGAGGCTCCATTCGCCCATCACTATTAATAATACTTCTACTTGCACTGTGTTTTAGCAATTAGAGGTGTGCAAAAGTATTGAAATATCGATAAATTGTATCATTTAATGTCATTAGGCCTATGAAAATTGTGTGATTTTAATTGTGTTGGGTTTGGGTTGGATTCGATCACTGCTCTGTCAGACGCAGATCGGGCTCAGACAGAAAAATTCGACCCGATCCACACTCAACCCTGGGCTGAGTTATTGTGAAAGAACTGAATAAAGTTTGACTTATCTGAGTGTTTTGCTTCACTTAATGTGCCTTATACTCCGGTGCGCCTTATGTATGAAAATAGACGAGAGAATTTAACATTATTGATATTGCGCCTCATAATCTGCTGCGCTTTATAGTCCAAAAAATACGGTACTCAATTATTTTGTCACAGTGCTACAGTTTGGCTTGTTTAGAAGAAGGAAATATGCAACACATTTGACATTTTCACTGTTTGGATCAGTAAAATGTTTGTGTTTCATATTAACTTTGCTCAAGAAGTGGTTTAACAAAGAGTTTTAGTATCACAGCCATGATTTAGCCTTTTTTTTTTTTTTATTAACCATATCAACTCGATTTGAAACATGTCGTATCGAACTGAAAATGCACTGTATCATATCGGTAACATCTTAATGATACCCAGTCCTAGTGGCGAAACTAAAACTTCTAACTCAATACCAATGCTAAAGAATAAACTCGATAGTCAATACTGATTCTGATACCATGATTGTAATAAAAACTTTTTATTTAGATGTGTGTAAGGTTCCTCAGTCTTCCAGGTAGAATCCATGGCAAAGGGAGAAGTTCAGTTTGTCAAGTGGACAAAACACTTTGTTTGTGGCTCTGTGTTTTCTTTTGGGTGGACCAGTTTCTGTCTTAAAGTGTTTGTAGGTTTTAAGACAGAAACTGGTTCACCCAAAGGACAAAACACAGAGCCACAAAAAAAGCAAGTGCTACATTGGAGAAACGAAACAGCCACTTCACAAGAGGATGTACCAACACAGACGAGAGAGCAACACAGGACCTCAGTCGGCTGTACATCTTGTTCTAAACAAAAATTGTCCAGTTGACAAATTGAACTTCTCCTTTTATATAGATGTACTTTCTTTTATATTACCATGTGGGTTTACATCTGTGTAATCCCTCAGTGGTCCAGGTAGGTTCTATAGTGGTCCATGTGCTCTTATACTTGTTCTGATACAGCTCAAGATCATTCTAAAGCTTCTCGGGAAAGGTTAATTTCTGTCCGGTGAATGTGACTTTTTTAGTTTTGACACTTGCTCAAATGAGTCTCGAGTTTTGATACAAATTTTTACATCAAATTGCATCTGATTTTCAATATTTTTGACAACTTTACTGTGTTACAACAATGAAAATTCCCAAACGTGAGATGAATAAAGGTTTTCTTATCAAGAGAGGGATATAGTCGCATTCTACAACATACTAACAACATGTACGAATAACAGAATTGCATCATTTTTGGTTCAGTATTTGAGCCCAAGCCATTTTGCAAACCTAAACGTAATATCGTTTTCACATTTTTGAGCCAGTCTCAGCGCTGTGATGATGAATGCTTTTTTTCCATGTAAACCCCACACTCCCCTAATGCACTGACACTGTGGTATCTCTAATGGAGCCCAGTCTCAGAGCTAACAGTGTTTATGGACAAACTAATCACTCATTATTTATTCATCAGGGCCGAGTTTGTGTTGGAAATAACCGTGAAAGGTCAAAGCTCGGACGCCGCTCTGGAGAGGTCAGTCATTACAGTAAAATTATGGGATAGACAGGGATGGGCTTATTATAGATATTATGGACTTGTTACGCGTTATATAACTATATGTTTGGTTTTGGTTTATTGGTACTTTGGAGTCGATGTCATCAACATTTTCCGGTCGGTGTGAAGCTAAAAGAAAGCACTACTCTGTCTGAATGTAGTAGCTCAAGTTGATAGAGCGTTTGTCCACTGCTCTGAAGGTTGGCAGTTCAAATCCCACTCTCAACTGAGCGGTCCAGTCCACTGACCCACAGGTTGTCGGTGTGGTACCAGGTCCCACAGATGAATGCTGTCGTTGTGTCCTTGGGCGAGACACTTGACCCACCTCGCCCATTACTGTCCTTGTGCGCTGGTGTTTGAATTTGTGAGTGGTTCCTTGTTGTAAAGAGCTTTGAGTGCCTTGAAGGTGGAAGTACTATATAAAAATTGACTACCGTATTTTCCGCACTATTAGGCGCTCTGGATTATAAGGCGCACTGTCATTAAATGGTCTATTTTCAAACTTTTTTACAAATAAGATAAGATAAGATAATCCTTTATTGTCTCCCATGGGAGAAATTTGTCTTGGGA